CCCTCCCTCCCTCCCTCGCTCTCTCTGTTTCCATGGCAACACTCTGCCTCAAAACTGTGCACACCACACACATATATATATATATATATGTAGATGAATAAATAAATGACAAAAGAAGGTGCATGTGAGTGCGAGCGCATGTGTGAAGGACTGGCTCGGTGCCAGGCAGCGGACCGGGTCGGTAGCATACGATCACATCTATCTATCTATCTATCTATCTATCTATCTATCTATCTATCTATCTATCTATCTATGGAGTGACTTATGTAATCCAGTAATCGCTCTAATGCCAGCCTCCTTATTCTATTCCCCGTATTAAATATTGATGTTTTTGATGGGCCCGGACGATCGGCTCCATCCAGCATCACACCGTCTCGTGTCGCCCCGTGTGTCCGGCTAACAGCCCCGTCCTGTCGGGCCCTGGCACCGGCACAAAGTGCATAGAATCTGCTGCATAAATCATGAGCCATTTACAAAATGACTCGATGCCGTGGCCCCTTTAATCTTTACTGAAGCGAGCTATTGTTGCGACTCGAGGCCTAGTGTGTGTGTGTGTGTATGTGTCTATGTGTGTGTGCACATCGACGGCAGCGAAACACAAGCATATGTGTGTTGCCATGGCGCCCACAACCACTGTGATTTCCTGAGCCAATGTGCCGCGTTACTATGGTAACGGTAATCTCGCAGAGGGTGGGAAAGAGACACAGAGAGAGAGAGAGAGAGAGGGAGAGAGAGAGAGAGGTGGGATTCAAAGAAAAACAGGGAGGGGATGGAACACGTTACAACCAGGATGCAACACGCTCCTCTTCTTCTTCTTCTTCCCTCGTTTCTCCCATCACACAGGAAGGCATCACGTCCTCCATCCTGTCACCTCCTCTGAACTTTGGACACACCTCAAACTCAGCGTTTACACCCACAGAGGTAACATCTAAAAGCCTCCATGAGCGGCTCCACCGGGGCTGCTGGGTGCTAAGTGCTTTGTTCGATGACAGACAGCCGTCGTCGCCGTCGCCGCCGTGCGAGAGAATAAACACGCAAACCCACCGAAGCCCCCTCCCCTCTGTTTGCCGAAGCCGTGTCATGAGACGGCATTAAGTTGTGTGTCTGCTCGGATGAGAACGAGGCGCACATCCACCCGCTAAACCCCCCATCTTTTGATGTCCCCGTCAGTTCCCAGCTTAAGCTCGCATCTCTGGGCTGTAACTGTACAGAAGGTGAATTAAAATTCAAACGGCGGCAGCAGCTGTCTCCACCTGGCCGCCGCCGACCGGACACGCATGAGCTCACATCCCCACCGTCGCCATGTTTGGGCCGCACCGGGGACGATTCTATTAATCCGAGTTGTATTTAAAGAAAACTGTGGCTATTGTAAATCAGAGCAGCTCCACACACACACACACACACACATGCTAACTCCATGGCCTGACACAGATACGTTTTAGCGCATGTTCTCGCGTGAATAATGGAGGAGCCGCGTTGAAATATTGATAAGTCAGTTTTAATAAATTAACCCCGATATGAATTAGACATGAATTACACTCCTTAGCAATTACTGTGGTGCAATGTACTTATTGGATTTGCAGAGGAGGGATCTATACGGAGGACGACGCCGCGGCCCGTATGGCGGCGGCGGCGCACGCTTGGGGACGGATGTGAGGCGAGGTGTGAATTTCTTGTGTTTGCACACGCAGCGGCGTTTATGTTCAGAAATGGGAAGTAAATGTGTAAATAAATTGTGCTAATGGGACTAAAGAGGGACTGAATACGTGAAACGGCACCTTGATATGTTGCTTTAATATGATTTATTTCTGACAAAGTGACAGACAGCACTTAATTAAAACCAATTATGATGAAGTTAATTTTCTGTGGTAGCCTTTGAACAGATTGGCTTCTCCACGTTGTTGAGATAATGGACACCTGAGGCGATTTTCTAGGTTTTCTCGTTTCCGAGCGTTTAGGAACGAAACTTCAA